TTCCCTGCCAGTCCCCTTTCAGCCTGTTGGGCATTGCCTCTGGGGTGCCCGGAGAAGAGGCACTCCTGTACTCCAGTGTACGCTTCCCCCCCCAACTCCCTTTCATACACCCTTTCCCCAGTCGTTTCCTGCCGGTCCCCTATCAGCCTATTGGGCATCGTCTCTGGGGTGCCCGGAAAAGAGGCACTCCTCTACTCCTGTGTGTACGCTTCCCCCCCCCAACTGCCTTTCATACACGCATCCCTTTGCAAATAAAATGCATAGAAATTAAAGAACTGGGTTCAAAGGCAATGAATTTCCTGCTGGTAAAAGATTAAGAATTCTTTCTGTTCCCTCTCCATGGATTGTTTTAATGAGCCATTATCAGTTTCACTGCAACGCCCTTGTGTACCCTTCAGGGGACACCCGCATAGCCAGCCAGATCATCCGAATCAACCCTGGCGATCAATGGCACTCCTGTACTCGTGTACTTGTTCCTGATTAATGGGACCGGCCTGCTTTGAACACACTAAAAAGGAAACGCTTTGGACCACAGGGACACTCGTTTAAGAGCACGGGGGGAGCGCCGAGAGGCAGGGGCTGGGACAGACTGGCGGAAGAGGTCTCTGCCGCCCTCTCTACATTTTGGAGGAAGCACTTCTTTTTATTGATGATTTTAATGGCAACTTTATGGCAAGTTTCTGTGTACGCCTCCCCCCCCCCAACTCCCTGTCATACAGCCTTTGTTATTTTAATGAGCCATTATCAGTTTCACTGTAACGCCCTTGTGTACTTTACATCCCAAGCTTCCTCTCCCATCCTTCCCTCTCAGGCAAGAAGCCCAACTGCCTGTGCCCCAGTGTACGCTTCCCCCCCCCAACTCCCTGTCATACAGCCTTGATTATTTTAATGAGCCATTATCAGTTTCACTGTAACGCCCTTGTGTACTTTACATCCCAAGCTTCCTCTCCCATCCTTCCCTCTCAGGCAAAAAGACCAACTGCCTGTGCCCCAGTGTACGCTTCCCCCCCCCAACTCCCTGTCATACAGCCTTTGGCACTCCTGTGCCCCCCCCCCCCAACTCCCTGTCCTACTCCTGTGTGTACGCTTCCCCCCCCCCCAACTGCCTTTCATACACGCATCCCTTTGCAAATAAAATGCATAGAAATTAAAGAACTGGGTTCAAAGGCAATGAATTTCCTGCTGGTAAAAGATTAAGAATTCTTTCTGTTCCCTCTCCATGGATTGTTTTAATGAGCCATTATCAGTTTCACTGTAACGCCCTTGTGTACTTTACATCCCAAGCTTCCTCTCCCATCCTTCCCTCTCAGGCAAAAAGACCAACTGCCTGTGCCCCAGTGTACGCTCCCCCCCCCCAACTCCCTGTCATACAGCCTTTGGCACTCCTGTGCCCTCCCCCCCCCCAACTCCCTGTCATACAGCCTTTGGCACTCCTGTGCCCTCCCCCCCCAACTGCCTTTCATACACGCATCCCTTTGCAAATAAAATGCATAGAAATTAAAGAACTGGGTTCAAAGGCAATGAATTTCCTGCTGGTAAAAGATTAAGAATTCTTTCTGTTCCCTCTCCATGGATTGTTTTAATGAGCCATTATCAGTTTCACTGCAACGCCCTTGTGTACCCTTCAGGGGACACCCGCATAGCCAGCCAGATCATCCGAATCAACCCTGGCGATCAATGGCACTCCTGTACTCGTGTACTTGTTCCTGATTAATGGGACCGGCCTGCTTTGAACACACTAAAAAGGAAACGCTTTGGACCACAGGGACACTCGTTTAAGAGCACGGGGGGAGCGCCGAGAGGCAGGGGCTGGGACAGACTGGCGGAAGAGGTCTCTGCCGCCCTCTCTACATTTTGGAGGAAGCACTTCTTTTTATTGATGATTTTAATGGCGACTTTACTGCAAGTTTCTGTGTACGCCTCCCCCCCCCAACTCCCTGTCATACAGCCTTTGGCACTCCTGTGCCCTCCCCCCCCCCCAACTCCCTGTCATACAGCCTTTGGCACTCCTGTGCCCTCCCCCCCCCAACTCCCTGTCATGCAGCCTTTGGCACTCCTGTGCCCTCCCCCCCCAACTCATCACAACAGCTTCGGGAGGGAAGCACATTTTGGAGGAAGCACTTCTTTTTATTGATGATTTTAAAGGCGACTTTTAGTCAAGTTTCTATACGGTCACCCTCTTTTTTTCCCCATCACCCCATCACGAATGAGGTTCAACGGGTTACCCGCACCTGTCGGCGTAGGGTAGACACACACTGTAGCGCGCATGCAGCCCCGGACATCTAAGGGCATCACAGGAACCCCAGGACACTTTTTACTGATGATTTTAACGGCGACTTTAATACTGGAGACCTCATTAGGAAAAACGAATGCGACTTTATTTTGGTATAAAAAATAGGGATTACTACAAAATGGGAAAGTTCAGAAAAGCAAAGGGGAAGCAAACTACAAGCTATCATTAGCTAAATATTTCTTTTATTCTTGATTAATGATTAATGATTAATGATTGATTTTAATGGCGATTTTTTTACTGATGATTTTAAAGGCGACTTTAATACTGGAGACCTCGGTACACTCCTTCTTTACCTTGGACGTCGTCCTCTTCCACCGAGCGCGCAGCTTGATTGGAGAGGAAAGGTCACCAAAATACTGTATATTTCAGGTTTGTGATTGATGACCAGTCTTGGAATTACTCTAAAGATTTTCTATCATATTATCTACCAATCTATATGTCTTTAACATTAATATCTAGTCTACATTATTGTAAAAAACTCAGAATTTGTGCCAAGAGGTAACTTAAAACAGGGTCCTTTAAGAATGAAGTCCATGTTGCAGGGACTCACTCTCATGGCAGAATGAAAGGAAAAAGAAGTTTTCCCCCTCTTTTATTGATTATTTATCTGATCGTCTTAGAATCTCCGACTTTCGTTCTTGAGTAATGAAAATATGCATAACCTCAAAAAAATAAACAAATCCACAAAAAAACAAAAACCTCCGACTTTCGTTTCATTTGTTCATTTGAATAGTTGCAAAGACCCTTGTGTGCCTGTGTGTGCGTTTCTCCCTGTCCTCGTGGCTGTGTTCGCTCCACAAGAGGGCAAGGTTTTTGTTAATTTTCCATTTTTAAATATTACTGAAAAATATTTCTCTTTTATTCTTCAAAAAATAAAAAAAAACCTAAAAAAAGAAAAGACTCTTCTGTTGGTGTGTGCTCTCATTTGCCCTGTCTCCTGCCTGTGTTTAGTCCACATCAGGGCCAGTTTTTGGTTAAATTTTCCATTTCTGAATATTTTCTAAAAATACCTGCCTTTTATTCTTTAAAAAAAATACAAAAAATATCAAAAAAGAAAAGACTCTTCTGTTGGTGTGTGCTCTCATTTGCCCTGTCTCGTGGCTGTGTTTGGTCCACATCAGGGCCAGTTTTTGGTTAATTTTCCATTTTTAAATATTTTCTAAAAATACCTGCCTTTTATTCTTAAAAAAAATACAAAAAATATTCTAAAAAAAGAAAAGACTCTTCTGTTGGTGTGTGCTCTCGATTGCCCTGTCTCCTGCCTGTGTTAGCTCTACATCAGGGCCAGTTTTTGGTTAATTTTCCATTTCTGAATATTTTCTAAAAATACCTGCCTTTTATTCTTAAAAAATACAAATATTCTAAAAAAGAAAAGACTCTTCTGTTGGTGTGTGCTCTCATTTGCCCTGTCTCGTGGCTGTGTTTGGTCCCATCAGGGCCAGTTTTTGGTTAAGTTTCCATTTCTGAATATTTTCTAAAAATACCTGCCTTTTATTCTTTAAAAAAATACAAAAAATATTCCAAAAAAAGAAAAGACTCTTCTGTTGGTGTGTGCTCTCGATTGCCCTGTCTCGTGGCTGTGTTAGCTCTACATCAGGGCCAGTTTTTGGTTAATTTTCCATTTCTGAATATTTTCTAAAAATACCTGCCTTTTATTCTTAAAAAATACAAAAAATATTCTAAAAAAGAAAAGACTCTTCTGTTGGTGTGTGCTCTCGTTTGTCCTGTCTCGTGGCTGTGTTTGGTCCACATCAGGGCCAGTTTTGGGTTAATTTTCCATTTTTGAATATTTTCTAAAAATACCTGCTTTTATTCTTAAAAAAATACAAAATATTCGCTTTAACGAATCGATTCGTTATTATTTCAATATCGAATCGAATCGTATTTAATAACGACGTTTCGGAAGCCGCTTTTGCGCATGCGCGATCGCGTCCGCCATTTTAACGAATCGATTCGTTATATCCTTAACGAATCGCCCCCCGCGCCAATAACGAAGCTTCGGAAGTGTTTTTGCGCATGCGCGAGGTCCGCCATCTTTACAAAATGTTTTGTAAATATTTACGAAATTTCGTAAATACCGAAACTTTTTTTTGGAAAGTTTTGTAATTATTTTAAATATCGAAACAAAAAAACACCCCAATTACAAATCGATTTTAGAAACAAATTTTTTCTTGATCAAACAGGCCTACTCAATATATCCCATATGCATGGGGCTATTGGAATAACGATACAAAAGGTTTGCTAGGGTAGATCCTCAGCCCCCCCCCCTTTGAATCAAACTCCCCCCCCGAATCAAACTCAGCACCCCCCGAATCAAAATCCTGGCTACGAGCCTGCGTCCAGGGAAAAAGGTTGTTGTCTGCAACACTGATTTTGTGCAAAAATCACATGTTGTTTTGTGTGTGTATCCATGTGTGCCAGATACAACATTTTCTACACTGAAAAGAATACCATTTCTCAGGGATATTATTTTCTATGCAGAAAAGGCTGTTATGCATGCAAATTGGCTCCGTTGTGAACATGGTCACTTCCCCATTTCATTTTCCTAAGTGGGAGGAGCATAGTAGAGTTTGCACGGTGTTGTGAAAACAAATGATTTGAATGTGAAGGTCATCAATGAATATAAAAAGGGACCACTGTTGAATGGGTGAGATCTGAAGCAGAACCCATTTTCCTTTCTACGTAAATCTCTTAAGGTTTACCCATGATGGTGTGGATCTCACTCCTGGTAGTCCTCCTCAATTATTGCCTAGGTATGACCAAGAGAGGAATCTCCGAGTGGTGTTGTTTCACCAAATACTACTGGAGTTTCATTGTGTTATGCTTTCTTTTCTTTGTAGGCTCCTCAGCTGACTATGTGCTCACCCAACCATCATCGATATCAATCCAAATAGAACAAAATGGTCAAATCACTTGTTCGGGAATAACATTGGGGGCAAGAGTGTTCACTGGTACCAACAGAAACCTGGCAAAGCCTCTGTTCTTATTATATACAGTGATAGCAATCGACCCTCGGGGATCTCGGAATGATTCTCTGGTACCAACTCTGGCAACACAGCCACCTTAAGCATCTCCCGGGCCCAAGCAGAAGATGAGGCAGATTATTACTGCCAGGTATGGGACACCAGCAGCAAACAGCACACAGTACTTGAAGCAGAGGGGGAAGTGAGACCCAAACCTTCTGCTATAAAATGAGTATAGTGTATGTATATGTGCTGCACACCGCCAATATTATCTCATGGTGACCTGTAATGAACTCAGCTTGACTATGCATTACAGGCAGTACCCAAGTTATGAACAATACAGGTTCTGTAGGTTTGTTCTTATATATATATATATATATATATATATATATATATATATATATATAGAAATTTTACTTGTTACATATTTGAAAGATAGGGGAGAAAAAGACTTAAAAGATAGATAGAGGCATAGGGAGGGACAATAGGGGGAGGCAAGAGTGGGGGGGGAGGAGGGATAAAGAGTGTGGCAGGAAAAAAAAGTGTGAAAGTTTAAAAATCACGAGCATGAAGATTGAGGAGTTCTTCTTCGTTCGGTCTGACTTCCTGGTGTTGTTGAAGAGGATTCCTTTTCTTTCTTTCTTTCATATAAAGTTCCTCTTCTTATTTTCATCATATTCCTTCTTGGCAGTATTTCTCTCTTTCTTTCTATCCATTCCATCCAAAGTACTCATTTATTAATGTCCAGTCCGTTTCTTTTTCCAAAAGTCCTTTACCTTTCTGTATTAAATAGCTTCATCTGTCCATATTTCTTATATCTATAAGATTGGCTTCCCATTCTTCTCCATTTTTTGGCAAAACATATTCTTGCCGCAGTCACGGCTAAGAATAAAAGCTTGTCTATATTTTGATCGGCTTTCTCCTCTGTAAGACCTCGCAAGAAAATTTCTGATTTCAGTGGAATATTTATTTTCAATATTTTCTGTAGTTTTTCCTGTATTTTTTCCCAAAAGATTTTGGCTTTACTACAGTGCCACCACACGTGGTAATATGATCCTTCTATTTCCCCACATTTCCAGCATTTTGTGTTAAGGTTTTTGTAATACATTCCTAATTTCTTTGGCTTCATATGCCATCTGTAAAACATTTTCAACCAATTTTCCGTCAAATTATATGCCTTTATATGTTTCAATTTCTTGGTCCATATTTTTTCCCATTCTATTAGTGATATCAATCTCCCGACATTTCTTGCCCATCTTACCATCCCGTCTTTAACTCTTTCTTCTTCTGTGCTCCAGTCAAGTAGTCTTTTATATGTTATTGAAATCGTTTTTCTTTGTGATTTAATTATTTTATCCCAGGTATTCTCTTCCGTCATGAATCCTAATTCTTTATCCTTGTTGTAATACTCTTGTATCTGTCTGTATTGGAGCCATGTCATGTTTGTATAATCTTGTTTTATTTTCTGTTGCGTTTTCAGTTGGTATCTCCCTTCTACCTTTTCTAAAACTTCTTTATAATTGGGCCATTTCCTCCATCCTGCTTCTTGTCTTTGGCAAGCTTCCATAGGTGGAATCCGATTGTATATTCTATTTTTGTATTTCTCCCATGGTTTTATGATGGCCGCCCTAATAAAATGATTCCCGAATTTTTTCTCTACTTTTTTCTTTTCGTACCAGATATAGGCGTGCCACCCCCTTCTCAAATCGTATCCCTCTAATTCTAACAATTTTTCATTTTTTAATTTGATCCAATCAAAAAGCCAGGTTAATGCACATGCCTCCGCATATAGTCTTAGATCTGGCATGGCTAGCCCCCCTCTTTTTTTTTTTCATCTGTCATACTCTTGAAATTTATTCTGGGTTTTTTATTTTGCCAAATAAAATTTTTAATATCTTTATTCCACTCTTTAATTCCTTTCTGATTTCTTATAATTGGTAGGTTCTGAAATAAAAACAACATCTTTGGTAGAATATTCATCTTGATGCTTGCTATTCTGCCCAGTAACGACAACTTCAAGTTTTTCCACTTCTCTAAGTCCTTCCTTATTTCCTTCCATTTCCCAATGTAGTTATTTTGTAAAAGTTGTGCATTCTTCGGTGTTATGGTGATTCCCAAGTATTTTAATTTTGGTACTATTTTTATGTTCCATTTTTCTTTAATCTTTTCTATGTTCTTCTTTGGTATATTTTTTGTTATTGCCTCAGTTTTTTCCAGATTTAGTTTGAAGCCCGCTAGACTACCAAATTCGTTGATTGTCTCTAGTCATTTCCCTAAATTCTTATTCGGTTCTTCAATGATGCAAATAATGTCGTCTGCGAATGCTCGACATTTATATGTATTATTTCTAATTTTTGCCCGTTTTAGCTCTTCCGTTTCTCGAATCGTTTCTAATAATACTTCCAATGTTAGTATAAAAATTAGCGGGGAGAGGGGGCATCCCTGTCTTGTTCCTTTCTTTATTTCTATTGGTTTACTTTCATTTCCATTAATCGCAATCTTAGCCTGTTGATTCTTATAAATAGCCTCAATTGAATTCTGAAAATAAAAACCCATATCCATTTCTTTAATTAATAATTTTTAAAAATTCCAATTGATATTATCAAATGCCTTTTCGGCATCTAAAGCCAAGAACATAACTTCTTTTTGAATGTTTTTTTTCGTAATATTCTATTAGGTTGATAACAGTTCTCACATTTTCTCTTTGGTGTCGATTAGGTAAAAATCCTGCCTGTTCTTCTTTTATTCTTTTGGATAACACAGATTTTAGTCTCTCGGCTAGTATGCTACTAAATAGTTTATAATCAATGTTTAGTAACGAAATTGGTCTATAGTTTTTAATTTCTTCTAAATTTTTGTTTTCTTTTGGGATCACACAGATCGCTGCTTGTTTCCAAGTATCCGGTATTCTCTGGTTTTCCCTAATTTCATTCATGACCCTCTTCAGTATTGGTATTAACATTTCCTGTAGAGACTTATAATATATGGCTGTTAGCCCGTCCGGTCCAGGGACTTTATTCCCCTTCAGATTATTGATCGCCAATGTTATCTCTTTTCCTGATATCTCTTTATTTAGGGTTTCTCTGCCCTCTTCTGTTATCCTTTGGATTTTCCTTTTTCCTAAATATTTTAGAATATCTTCCTTCTTAATTTGTTCGTCTTGGTATAATTTTTTGTAAAATTTTTCAAATTGTTTTCTTATTTCTGTTTCTTGGGTGTATACTTTCTCATTCTCTCTTATTTTTGTTATATAGCTTTTTTCTTTCTTCCTTGTTAACTTCAGTGCTAGCCATCTCCCTGGCTTATTTGCGTTTTGGAAATGGTCTGCTTTGATGAACTTCAATTGTTTTGCTTTTTCCTCTAGTTCTAGGTATTCTCTTCTCTTCTGCAATAGCCTTATCTTTTTGGCCGTTTCTTTGTTTTTTGGGTCTCTTTTTAGTTTTTTCTCTTCTTTTTCAATTTCATCCATCGTTTCTTTTATTTTTCTTGTTTTCTCTTTCTTCTTCTGCGATGCCTGTTGTATGAAGTGTCCCCTTACCACCGCCTTGCTTGCTTCCCAGGTTTCATTCAAACTGTTAGAGCCTTTGATGTATAGTGGCCCTAAGGTCACCATACATCAATATGATTTATGCAAGTGTTGCCCCCCTCCCATTCAAGGCTTCATTCTGAGTGATACAAGGATGGGGTGGCCCCTTCCAATAAAAATACATTAGTTGACATACAACCAATGGAGCACAAAGGAAAGCCAGAATGTTGTGTCGCACACCAAAGGACTGGCATGCCTTGCCTTTAAGTATCTCTCAAGTAACACTGACCAATTAGATTGGACGGGATTGAAACGGGGCTGGAGCACTGACGTTCCGCATCTTCAGTTAAGACTGATATAAAGTTGCAGCGACCCCAAACATCGCACAGTTGCTTCCTTGACTGTACAGGATTCCAGATTGCTTTGCCATGTTCCAATTTTTCTTTCTAAATCTTTTAACTATGTGGTGCACAGGTAGGAGGAGCGGGCACGCTGGTCAACACCAGCAAGGCTACACAGGGTGCCACCAGTGTAACCATTTATTTGCTTGCTTCCTCTCTAGGTGCCGATTCTCAGCCTGTGCTGTCTCAACCCCCGCTGGCCTCCATGTCACTAGGTTCCACTGTCAAACTCTCCTGTGCGTGGAGCAGTGGGTTCGTTGTCACCGGATACCATATGGCTTGGTACCAGCAGAAGCCTGGACATTCTCTGTGGTTCCTTTTACAGTATCTCTCAGATACCAGCAAGGGCCAAGGAGCTGGGGTTCCTTCTCGTTTCTCTGGATCCAAAGACCCATTGAGCAATACTGGCTATCTAACCATCACAGGAGTCCTGGCAGAAGACGAGGCTGATTATTACTGTGGAACATTCCATGCCAATAGTAATACATGCCACAGTAATGTGCTCTGAGGGGGAAGTAATACAATAACCTGTACTCTTTTTTCTCAAGGGAATCTGAACCGGCTTCGAGCTATTCAACAAGAGGTGGACACCTGCGCAGAAGATAGAATAATGTTTACTGCAAATCCCACCATTTGGGGGAGCACTTGGTCTATACTAGAGAGTCATACAACCTTGCTGAGATGAAAGAGCAGCAGTGGCATATGTTGTTGTGTGCCTTCAAGTCGTGTCTGACATATGACAACCCTAAGGCAAATCTATCCCAGGGCTTTCTTGGTAAGATGTGTTCAGAAGTAGGCTTTGCTTTACTGAGACCAAGAGACTTGGTGACTTTCCATGATCCAAACCTTGGTCTCCAGAGCTGTAGTCCTATGCTCAAAACCACTGCACCATGCTGGCTCTCGAGCCGTTATGTCTAACATCATTTCATGTTTTGAAAATGAAAACGCATGAAGATTTCTAAAGAAGGCTGAATGGGCCCCACCCTCATTTCTTCCCCTCCACTCACCATCCCTATTGCTGCATTTCAATGCATAGATTTTCTCTAGGGATGTCATTCTTCACTAGGTTTCTTCTCAAAGGAAGCAACAAGTAATTTTAGCCTTTGTCTTCTTGCCACAAGCACATCTTGTCAAGATTATTCACTATTTGGGGCTTATTCGGCACAACATTCACTTTTCATTTCAGCCCACGGAACCTGCGTTGTCAGTGCCAAAAATAATAGTTCCAGATAAATCCGAACTGTGGAGAGTCTTCAAAAAAATATAAGTTTTAAACGAGTTTCTCATGGTGAGGAGAAAAATGGCAAAGTCATCATCATCATTCTGAATAAAAATTAAATAAATTAAATACAATTGTTCATTCTTACTAGGGCAACCAAATGTATGAAGATGTGACTCCCTAGCAAAGGATCAAGGGAGCTTCCAGAATATTCTATTTTTTAAGGACATTCAAGTGATTTACCCACTAGAAACTGGATATATAAACACTTTGCACAACATCACAGCGAAAAGTGTCTGTGACCTGAAACCATGTACTTGAGAGCATTCTCTCCCACAATTCACTATGCTGAAATTATATACTTGCTTACTATAAATTATCAACACCTTAAAGAAAACACCCATTTTCCTTTAATTTTCAAATTTGCCCAGATTACAAGGTTCATTATGGATTTGAAGATTCTTTCCCGTTCCTACACTGTAGGCAGGCATGTAGCCGGGGGGGGGGGGGCTTGGGGGGCTTCAGCCACCCCCGAAATTCTCATGGTGGGCCGCGAGAAGGCCTTACTGGTACATTATTTAAACTGTTATGTTTATTCATATCATGATCTGATCACCATGCTCAATATATCCCATATGCATGGGGGTATTGGGGTAACAATACAAAAGGTTTGCTAGGGTAGACCCTCTTTCACTCAGACTCAGCCCCCCCCCGAACCAAACTCAGCCCCCCACCCCAAAAAAAAATCCTGGCTACGGGCCTGACTGTAGGGAGCTCAATAGCCGGAATGGAAGCGATTGTAGATTTTAGAAGTACGTCTTCATTGTACATCAGGCTGTACATTCAGTTGATGTAGACAGAAGGATCATGAAACTTGGGGTCAAGCCCTATCGACCAATCAGCCTCCTTAACACTATCAGCAAGCTATATGCTAGACATCTCCAATGGAAACTCCAAGATTGGTTGGAACAATTAAGCATATTAGCTGAGGAGCAAGCTGGATTCAGGGAAGGTCGATCCACCATAGATCAGTGCCTAGTGCTGCAACACCTTGTGGAAAAATATTCCTCCCAAAACATAACCTCACTATATGCTGCTTTTATTGACTTTAAAGCAGCATTTGATTTCATCTCGCGAGTTAAACTTTGGGAAAAACTGAAGAGTTCTACAATTGATTGCCGTCTATTATATCTAATACGCCAACTTCATGAAAAGACCACACTCAAAGTAAGATGCAACCCACAGGGCCACCTCACTGAGGCTGTTGAAACATGCAAGGGTGTCAAGCAAGGCTGCATCCTGGCCCCTTTGCTGTTCAATTTCTATATAAACTCCATAGTGGACCAGCTTCAAAACATGGACTTCCACCCCCCAAAGCTGGTGGGAAGACACATCTCCATCCTGCTTTATGCAGATGATGCTGCTGTGCTCTCTAGAACACCCATTGGGCTCAAAAGAGCTCTGAGAGCATTAATACAACATTGCAACACAGATCAGCTCCAACTTAATTACAATAAAACCAAAATCATGGCTTTCGCTAATAGGCCCAGGACTTACTCTTGGAGCATAGATGGTCATAAAATTGAACAAGTTACATCCTTCAAATATCTAGGTGTAGTTTTCCAATCTAATGGTAGCAAAAGAGCTCATGGGGATCAAGTAGCCAACACCGCGCAGGGGAGCTCAATTGCCATTTAAAATATCTTAAGACAAGAGGGGGCCACTTCACACCGGCAGCGCTCAAGCTGTTTGAAGCCAAGTCATTAGCCCAACTCTTGTATGGTGCTCAGCTGGGCCCCTTCCCCAGTTTTGCCCCATTAGAGGTGGTTCAGTCCAAGTTTCTGAGATCGGCCTTGCAGGTCCCTAAATGCGTTTCTAATGCCATCCTGCGACTAGAGACGGGTTTTATGAGAGTGGAGGCCAGGGTATGGGTGGCCATACTCAACCTCTGGCTCAGACTGTCCCATGCACCCCTTGGCCTTGCCCCACTAACCATGGAGGATGACTTCCAATCCACATGGAAGCAGGCGGTAGCATCCAAAATCTCCTCGTTGGGATTTTCTCCAGGTCTACTATTAGCTATGGATTACAATCAAGCCAAAGCACTTATTAAACAACGTATCACAGACACAGAGCGCCAACTAGATCTGGCCTCGGCTCCAACCTTCCTTATCAGTGAAGACAGCAGATACCTTGCCTCCCCTATGGCATATTTAACATACTTAGAGGTTCCTATTCATCGAAGGGCTTTCACCCTGGCCCGATGCCATGCTCTCCCATCAGCTGTACTCGAAGGTCACTACCGGAAGATCCCTTTCCCAGAGAGACTCTGCCCCTGTGACTCGGGTCATGTAGAAACAATAGAACATGTGCTCCTTCAGTGCCCGTTCTACAGGGATATCCGTGCCAGGCTTATCTTACCTCTGATAGACAAGCACCCAGGCCATTCAGGACAATTTTATACCTCCCTGCTACTTGCAGATACTAATTCAGCTACAACCTACAATGTCGCAAAGTTCTGTGCAGCAGCATACAAAATCCGCCAGGGAATGACTAGTTCCAAAAGTCAACTGTGTGTCCAGTAATCTTCCCTGAATCTACAATTTGGTGATGGATCTGGGCATTGTATGTTTTTACCCTGTTTCCCCTTCTGCTCCCTCACCCATATTGTGCTTTTAGTAGTTATATTTATATTTTTAATGTACCAAACATGCCAGGTTTGTATGGAAATGTGACTCTATTTCCTGTGCTGGTCAATGACCGAAATAAATGATTTGATTTGTTGTTGTGTGCCTTCAAGTCATCTCCTAAAACCAAATCACTTAGACCAGCGGTTCTCAAACTGTGCTCCTTGGAGCCCTTGGCTCTGTGAAGCATAGTCAGGGGCTCTGTGCTTCCTTGCTCCTCCTCCTCCCCCTCCAAGTGCACGGCAGTGGGGAAAGAGGCACTGGTCAGCTGGTTGCTCTCCTACTGTTGAAGTGCCGGAAGCGACAGTGTGTTATTCACTGTAAAATTAATACAGTTAGACACCACTTTTACTGCCCTGGCTCAATGCCATGCTCACCATTCTCAAGCATAATCAGTAACGTCTTGGTTTGACTTCTGGAACTAAAGCCATGTCTGCTCTGGCCCTTGGAGTTATGTCACCTTGGGTCTCTGCTTTTTATCCTACCTCACCATATTCTTGTATGATCACCAGGACCAATCAGATTAGAGCATGGAGGTGGAGCAAAGATGTCCCACCACAGTGGCAGGAGCCATATGAAGGGCAAGACCTGAAGCGATCCGATGGTTGTGGCATTTTTTCCTTCCCTTGGTAGGACCACCTATCCTATTTTGATCATGTTCTGGTCTCCTATCATCAGTCTGCTAATGCTGTGGGGCTCAGGTGAGAAAAGGTTCGATACACATGGAAAAGCTGCTGATGAGAGTTGAATGTGACAATGTCTCTACTCTTTTTCTCCCTCAGGAGCAAATGCTCAGCGTGTTCTGTCTCAGCCTCAGTTGGCCTCTGTATCATTGGGCGGCACTGTGAAAGTCTCTTGTGCCTTGGACAGGGGTGCCAGTATCAGCGACTACATAGTCTCCTGGTACCAACGGAAGTCAGGAAGCAGCCCAAGGTATCTCCTCCAATATAAATCAGACACAGAGAAGGACCATGGGCCTGGGGTCCCCCTTCGCTTCTCTGCCTCCAAAGACTTACCCAGCAACACTGGCTATTTAAGCATTGCAGGAGCCCTAGCAGAAGACGAGGCAGACTATTACTGTGTCATTTGGCGCTCCTATCTCACAGTGACACAGGCAAACAGGGAAGTCAGACAATAACTCACTTCTCATCTTGAGAAAGTCTAAACCCTTTGTGCCTGATTTGAATGCCCCATAATTGTTAAGCTCTAGGGAGATTCCTCCCCTTCACCTTAAAGCTTGGGAAAAGAGGCATCATGAGGCACCCATTTGTGGACTACTTCTTTCTCCTCCGTTTCCTCCTCTGGAGAACCTTGAGATTCCTAGATACAATATTTTAATCAAAGCTTGGAATAACCAAATCTGCAATAGTTAGTCAACCCTACAAATGTGGCGGGTCAACTGTCTGTCCACATAATGGTTGCTGCACTACTCCAACTGACTTTTTGTTCCTTTGATGCCATGATTTTGTCCCTAGCTTAGCAGCCTAGGTCCATAATCCAGAGATTCCTTAACTTTGCTCTAAATGGAAATGAGTTGTCCAAAGTTTCAGCGATATAGAAGGCCAACACAGTTGCAGATAATGTTGGACAGTGTGTTTAAAAATCACAACATGGCTACAATGTATTGGATTGGTTTATGCATGATATGAATTTCATCACTGTGGACTTTATCACACAAAGCAGACAAAACTGCATTGCAGCTGCACCTTCAGCTTTTGTGAAGGTCCCTATCATACAAGACCGTGTAGTGGTCTGCATTCTTCCCCTATGAATCTCCCATCCCTAGATATTAGGCATGTAGGATCCATTAAAAAAGTACTGTATATACTCGAGTATAAGCCTAGTTTTTCAACCGCTTTTTTAGGCTGAATAAGCTCCCCTAGGCTTATACTCAAGTCAAGGTTATTTATTATTTTACTCTGTAATTAGTATCATTTTATTACATTTATTATTTTACTATATTTATTATTATTACATGTACATTTTTTTACACTATTATTATTTTATTACATTTATTATTTTACTCTATTTATTATTACTAGTAGTACATTTATTATTTTACTCTATTATTATTATTACATTTATTTTACTTTATTATTGTTATTATTTTTACATGTATTATTTTACTCTATAATTTTTACATTTATTATTTTACACTATTTATTATTATTATTATAACTTTTATTATTTTACTCTATTATTATTGGAAGGAAACGTAAGCACATTTACATTGAAGAAGGTCAGAATAATGGTTTAATCAGAGTTGGAAAGTCTTATCTTACATTACAGTTTTATGTAAATATTCAAAAACATTTCACCTACGGATGCCTCAATTACTGTAATATTATTGGTATCTATTTTTATTTTGAAATTTACCAGTAGCTGCTGCATTTCCCACCCTCGGCTTATATTTGAGTCAGTGTTTTCCCAGTTTTTTGTGGTAAAATTAGGTGCCTCAGCTTACATTTGGGTAATTTTTGCTATTTTAATTGTTTCAATGTTTTAATGTTTTAGTGTGATTTAGAAATATGATGTTTTAATGACGGTCTGTAATATTGATGTTGGAAACCGGCCCGAGTCCCTCGAATGGAGGTGAGAAGACTGGTATACAAAGCTACCAAATAAATAAATAAATTATACTCAAGTATATACGGTACTTACAAAACTGGGGGAAGGGGGGGGCTTTACTACTATTGGGAAACTTCAGGGGCTCCTATCTCCCTCATTTTTAAAGCTATTGAAGTTAAACTTGCTACAATGGTTGAACACATTTACTACTATTAGCCCACCAAATTCCAGAGCAAATTTTCAAAGTTTTTATAAACAACATTTTTTTAAAAAACTATAAGAGCTAGCTCCTTGAATTTTCCATCCAATGACACAAGATAACAGGGGATCATTCCCCCCAGCTTTCTAAATACTCATACATCTACTAATTTTAGGGAATTTTTAAAAAGTTGAGACAAAAACAATTATCCCCCCCCCAAAAAAAGGACAAGAATCCCCTTGAATGTCTGTCACACAACCACATAACTTCAATTTAGCACAGATTTATACTGTTACTTACTTTAGTCCTCTTTGCTGATTAAATAATTTTATTTATTACTAGCTTGGGGACCTGGCACTTCCCGGGTTATTTGAGAAAGGAATTGTTTATCAAGGTTTGTCTTTATCAGTTATTTATATGGCTCACAGTGGTCTCAGGAAGTTAGTGAAGGTACTGCGAGTCCCATAATTTGTGATCCATCCTCCTCCAAACTCCACCAGGATGGAGAGTGGGTCATGGGGGCTCTGTGTGCCAAGTTTGGTCTTGATCAGTCATTGGATGAGAGTCGCAGTGCTCTCAGAATGTGAGTGATGGTACTGCAAGTCCCATCATCCATAGTCTGTTCTCCTCCAAACCTCACCAGAATGTTGAGTTGCCCATGGGGGCTCTCTGTGTGCCACGTTTGGTCTTGATCAGTCATTAGATGAGGGTTGCAGCAGTCTTGAGAAGGGAGTGGAGGTACTTGAAGTCCCATCATCCATGGTCTGTCCTCAAAAGTACACCAGGATGTAGATTGGGTCATGGGGGCTCTGTGTGCCAAGTTAGGTCTTGATCAGTCATTGGTGAGGGTCTTAGTGGTCTCAGGAAGTGAGTGAAGTTACTGCAAGTCCCATCATACATCTCCAAATTCTTCCAAACTGCACCAGGATGTAGAGTGGGTCATGCGGGCTCTTTGTTTGAATTGTGGTCCTGATCCATCATTGTTGGCAGTTGTAATGGTCTCAGGAAGGGAGTGCAGGTATTGCAAGTCCCATCGTCCATGGTGCATCCTCCTCCAAACCGCACCATGATTTAGAGTGCGTCATGGAAACTCAGTGTGCCAAGTTTGGTCTTTATCAGTAATTGGATGAGGGTTGCAGTGGTCTCAGGAATTGAGCGAAGGTACTGCAAGTCCCATCATCCATGGTCTATCCCCGGCCAAACCACACCAGGGCGTAAAGTGGGTCATGAGGCTCTGTGTGCAAAGTCTGGTCTTGATCAGTCATTGGAAGAAGGTCACAGCGGTCTCAGAAAGTGAGTGATGGTACTGCAAGTCCCATCATCCGTGGTCCATCCTCCTCCAAACTGCAGTAGGATGTAGAGTGAGTGAAGGTACTGCAAATCCCTCAGGCCTTTTCCTTTCTCTTCTCATCCACTTGAGAATGTTAAAATGTTTTGTGTGTGTGTGTGTGTGTCAGAAGCGACTTGAGAAACTGCAAGCCGTTTCTGGTGTGAGAGAATTGGCCATCTGCAAGGACTTTGGCCAGGGGGTGTCAGGATGTTTTGATCTTTTACCATCCTTGTGGGAAGCTTCTCTCATGTCCCCACATGAGAAGCTTGCGCTCTCCTCAGATTCGAACCTGCAACCTGTGGGTCTTCAGTCCTCCCAGTACAGGGGTTTAACCCTCTGCGCCACCAGGGGCTCCTGTTGATGCTGGCCAATCAGAAACCATATGCAAATTTCCTTTCCCCTTTCAGCCACTTGAGAATGCTGGAATGTTTTGGCTGACCAATCAGAGACCATATGCAAATTGTACCACAGTGGCAGCCAACCAGAAGGCTGCCACATACACCTATGTCCACCGCATACATACATACATACACTGACTTTTATTATATACTAGCTTGGGGAGCCGGCGCTGCCTGGGTTATTTGAGAAAGTGGGTAATGGCGGTTCTGTATGCCAAGTTTGGTCTTTATTGGTCATTGGATGACAGTTGCATTGTTTTCAGGAAGTGAGTGAAGGTACTTGAAGGTACTATATCCTCCAAACAGCAGCAGGATATAGAGTGGGTCATGGGGGCTCTGTGTGCCAAGTTTGGTTTTGATCAATTATTGGATGAGGGTCGCAGTGGTTTCAGAAAGTGAGTGAAGGTACTGCAAGTCCCATCATCCATGGTCCATCCTCCTCCAAACTGCAGTAGGATGTAGTAGGTCATGGGGCTCTGTGTGCCAAGTTTGGTCTTGATCGGACATTAGATGAGGGTTGCAGCAGTCTTGGGAAGGGAGTGGAAGTACTTGAAGTCCCATCATCCATATTCTGTGTCCTCGAAAGTGCACCAGGATGTAGAGTGGGTCATGGGGACTCTGTGTGCCAAGTTTGGTCTTGATCAGTCATTGGCGAAGGTCTCCGTGGTCTCAGGAAGTGAGTGAAGTGACTGCAAGTCCCATCATGCATTGTCAAATTCTTCCAAACCACACCAGGATGTAGGTACACATGCGGGCTCTCTGTGTAAATTGTGGTCCTGATCCATCATTGTTGGCAGTTGTAATGATCTTAGGAAGGGAGTGCAGGTATTGCAAGACCCATCGTCCATGGTGCATCCTCCTCCAAACTGCACCAGGATGTAGAGTGTGTCATGGAGACTCAGTATGCCAAGTTTGGTCTTTATCAGTAATTGGATAAGGGTTGCAGTGGTCTCAAGAATTGAGCAAAGGTACTGCAAATCCCATAATCCATGGTCCATCCCCGGCCAAACCACACCAGGACGTAAAGTGGGTCATGAGAGGTCTATGTGCCAAGTTTGGTCCTGATCAGTCAATGGATGCGGTTAACAGCGGTCTCAGAATGTGAGTGATGGTACTGCAAGTCCCATCATCCATCGTCTGTCCTCCTCCAGACAGCATCGGGATGTAGAGTGGGTCATGGGGGCTCTGTGTGCCAAGTTTGGTCTGTATTGGTAATTTTCTGACTCAGCCCCCTCTGGCCTTTTCCTTTCCTCTCTTTGTCATCTCGGAATCTTGGAATTGAGGCCAGCCAATCAGAGACCATATGAAAATTTCCTTCTCTCATGTCTCCCTTTCTGTCATGAACCCTTTTCTCCACCAGGGGTTCCTGTTGCAGCTGGCCAATCAGAGACCATATGCAAATAGCACCACAGTGGCAGCCAGTCAGAAAGCTGGCACATACCCGGTCGCACCGCCGCATACAAACTTTGACTTTTATTGTATGTATGTATGTATGTATGTATGTATCTATCTATCTATCTATGTATGTATAGATAGATAGATAGATAGATAGATAGATAGATAGATAGATAGATATAGATATATATTAGACTGAGTCTAAAAGACGGTTGTAGCAGCCA